GACGGGGCGGGGAGGCCTGGGGGGGTGGCGGTGGGGGGGGACAGGCCCGGGTGTCCCCCCATCCCCATCCCCATCCTGGGCTGGAGCCCGGCCCGCATCCCGCTCCTCGGGAAGGGTCAGAGGGCAGGAGAAGGGGTTTAGGGAAGGGCCAGACGATGCAGCCGGTGGGAGGAGGGATTCGATCCAGGCTGGGAAAACCTCGGGGGTGGAGCGGGCCAGCCCTTCAGAGCAGCCCTTCTGTGCCCGGCTTTGTTTGACAAATTAAACATCTGCCATTAAAACCCCCCCAGATTTGGGATCCAGAGCGGCTCCACAGCCCTGTCTGCGCGGGCAGCGTCCACAAGCAGAGCCTTTGCTGGCCGAGTGCCACAGCCTGCCCTGGTGTCACACCAAACCCATGGAACGCTCCAGGCGGGGGGACGGAGGGGCTGGAAAGCTGGGGTGCTGTGGCAGTGGCTGGGCATGAGCCCAGCTGGGGAAGGAGGCCAAGGGCACCTGGCTTGGTTCAAAACCAGTGTGGCCACAGGAGCAGGGCAGTGACAGTCCCCTCTGCTGGGGAGGATCCTCAGATCAGGGGGTCGGTTCTGGGACCCTCACGAAAAGAAGGGCATTGAGGGGCTGGAGCGTGTCCAGAGAAGGGAACGGGGCTGGAGCACAAGGAGAAGGGACTGGAGAACTCCTGGGGGAGCTGGGGCGGCTCAACCTGGAGAAAAGGAGGCTCAGGGGGCACCGTCTCGGCCTCTGCAACCCCCTGACAGGAGGGGGGAGCCGGGGGGGGATTGGGCTCTGCTCCCAGGGAACAAGGGACAGGAGGAGAGGAAATGAGCAGGAGATGTTCAGGTTGGACACCAGGAGGAATTTCCTCATGGAAGGGGTGGTCAGGCCTTGGAAGGGGCTGCCCAGGGAGGTTTGGAGTCCCCGTCCCTGGAGGTGTCCAGGGAAGGACTGGAGGTGGCCCTCAGTGCTCTGGGCTGGGGGACGAGGCGGGCATCGGGCACAGGGGGGGATCCATGACCTTGGAGGGCTTTCCCAACCTCAGCGACCCCATAAAAGGGGTTTTCCCAGCAAAGCCCGAACCCAGGGCGCGAGGACCTGACCCTGCTTTCCTCCCCAAAGAGCACCTTGAGTGATGCCCAAGAAGTTCCAGGGGGAAAACACCAAGTCGGCTGCTGCCCGAGCGAGGAAAGCTGAGGCCAAGGCAGCGGCCGATGCCAAGAGGCAGCAGGAGCTGGAAGATGCTTACTGGAAGGATGAGGACAAACACGTGATGAGGAAGGAGCAGAGGAAGGTCAGTGCCTGCCCACAGAGGTGTCTCCTAAACCCTGGGAGACCCAGGGATACCCCACACCTTGTCCTGGGCTCCGTTCCGGGGGGGGAAAGCTGGAATTTCGTGGCTGCTCCGGGAGCTAAAAGCAGCCCCATGTGTGGGAGTGAAGTGTGAGCTCTGCTGTGCAATTCCCAAACCTGGCGGATCTCAGAGTTCCCGAGGGAGGCAGCACAGGCCTTCTGGTGGGAATGGTTTAAAACAGAACCAAGGGAAAGATCAGGGGTTTGGACTGTGCCCAAAACGCTCTTTTAGCTCCTTTTCATTCCTTCTTTTCCTTTTCTTGCCTTTGGTTTTCAGAGGAGGAAAATGGAATCAGCAGATTAAGGGTCTCAAAGGTCTTTTTTTTTCCCCCCCCTCCTGGTTTTGCCATTCCCTGCATCAGGAATGTCTCTCTCCTGAGGTTCCCTCTGGATTGCCCTTCCCTGGGTCCCTGTTTCCATCAGTGCTTTTTGGGTTATTTGTTTGGTTTCTAATGTCCTGCTCTTGTTACCCAAATCCACCTTCTGGTTTGTGGGGGTTTTTTTCAGGAACTCTTAGTGATGGTTTAGCTGCTTCCTCTGAAATTGTCCCTGTTGCCTCGTGCTCTCTGTTGGTGCCAAAAATGGGATTTGGGGCGTTCCTGGGCTTGTGCTGCTCCAGGAATTGGGAGCTGTGGCAGGAGGCACCACATCCCTGTGACCTTGGGCCCTTCCCACTGTGTCCCCTGCGTGAGTTCATCCCTAATTTGTGTCCTGGAATCCGGAGTCCTGTGGGCTGTTCCCGGTGCGATCCCGTAATGCTCCCTAATTGCTTCCTGGAACAAGGAGTTGTTATTGCTGGATTTAAGGGCTTGGCCAAAGGTGACCTGCTTGTGCTTCCAAAACAGCCTCCTGCAGGCAGGGAGGACGGGAATTTGGAGAGCGGGGGGATGTGCTGGGAGCTGGGATTGCTGACTGGGAAACTGGTGTCTGTCCCAGAGCCTCGGACTGGGCTTTAGGGAAACCAGTGGGGTGGTTTCCAGTGTCCCCTGAGCCGTCCCCTCTCCCTGTGCCAGCACAACCACAGTGTCCAGGTCGGAATTTCACCCAAATCCTGTGTTTTAGTGCTTTTTCTTCCCAGAAGCCCCTTTTCCCTGGGAATGTGCAGCCCACAGCAGCAAAGGTCTCTGCTCAGGTGTGGAGCTGAGCCCGGAAAGCCCAACTGTTCCTGCCCAGGTGCTCTTCCCGCTGCCAGAGACAGAAATTAGTGGGCTGCTGGAGGGAAATAAATCAGGGAAACCCTCCTTGGCTGCTTCTCCAGCCTCATCCAGCTGGAATATCCCTGTGGAGGACTGGAGGAGCTGCCCGTGCCCTGTCACATCCCGGCGGGGAAGGGATGTGTGACTCGGGTTATAAACGACTTTGTCCTCTCTAGGATGAGGCTGGAGAAGCCAAAACCATTCCCAGGGGTCAGAATTCCCCGGAGAAGGAGGTGTCTGGGGGGTGGGCTGGCATGGAATGCTGGTGTGCTCCAGGAGGGACTCGTGGCACTCGGATCCAGGGGCCGGAGCTGTCGGGAGAGACCCGAGGACGCCAGGCTGGGGCTCACCCCCCAAACCCACTGCCCAGGCTCCGGCTTTCCTTCCATCCTTGCTCTGCCTGCCTGGGGGTGATGGAAGGGCCGTGTCTGATCCCGTTTCCAGGCTCTGCTGAGCCCTGGGGGTCCCGCTGGGCACTTGGACACGCTCCAGGGCGGTTCTGCTCCGCTCCCTTGCCACCTGCGTCATTTCCCCTGCATTCCTTCGCCTTCCTGCCGTGCCAGGAGCTCTCCAGCCTTCCCAGGGCCTCTCCTGAGAGCAGGGATCAGGAGCTGTGGCTCCCTGTGCCTGGGATCCGGGTCTCCTCCCCCCAGCAGCTGGGAAGCTCTTCTGGAGCTGCTGAGCCGTTCCTTGCTCAGGCACTTCTCTGCCAGGCTGGAAACTCGTGTTTAACACCCAAATCCTTGGGAACGGACGTGTCCTGCCGAAGGAATCTCATCCCCTGCTCCTCCCAGTGCCCTGTGGTCTCCTTTAAACTCCCTGGTGCTGGTGGCCAACCAGGAGATTCCACCTGGATCCATCCTTATCCTGTGCCGTGGCCACAGACACATCCCTGTGTACCCCTCCCCTCTCCCCTTCCCTCCCTCTCCCCCTTCCCTCTTCTGTTTGTTTGGTTTTTTTTTTTCCCCTGACCTTCCAGGTTTTGGGAGAGGAGGGAGACAACTCTCAGCCAGAGCACTGAAAGCCCTTAAGGGCTTGTTCCACGGGCTTGTCACCCTCTTCCCTGGGCAAAGTGGCTCTTGAGCTCCTTGTGGAGCACTTCAGATTCCCCCAAGAGCTGCTCTGCCCGTCGGAATCCGCCCGGCCGTGTGTCCCGGCCCTCGGGAAGGGCGTGGGGACGGACCCAGGCTCCTCACCAGCAACTGCTGAACCCCCAACCTCCCAGCACTTATCAAAATTAAAGTGGAAAGCTTAATCTGATTGTCCTGGCACTCCTCCTCCGCAGCAGGGTTGTGTTTCCCAGGGCTGACATCACCGGGCAGGGATGTGGGAATCGTTATTCCGAAGGGATGGGGACGGGCTGTCGCTGTCCCGCTGAAGGTCGGGGTGATCCAGCTACACCACTGAGGTGCCTGCTCCTGTCCCAGCGGGATTCCCAGCTCCTGGAAGGGCTGGTTTGATCCCTCTGTAAGGTCTGGAGGTGACCTGGTCCTTCCTCCCTGGCAGGAGGAGCGGGAGAAGCGGCGGCTGGAGCAGCTGGAGCGCAAGAAGGAGCTGCAGCGCCTGCTGGAGGAGGAGGACTCCAAGCTCAAAGGGAAGTCACCCAAGCAGGTCACTCCAGGGAAGGTCACCAGGGCCCAGATCGAGGAGACAATCAGGAAAGACCAGCAGCAGAAGGAGAACACGGATACAGGTCCGGGAATGCCATGGGAAGGCCCCGGGGGGATGGGGGTGGGATGGGGGGCTGCTCCTTCTCCACCCGCTGTCGCTGGAGGTGTTTGGAAAGCAGGAGGTGCAGGCAGACACTCCTGGGTTGTAAAGCTTTGGAAAAGACTGCCCAGGAGGTGGTGGAGTCACCATCCCTGGAAGTGTTGGAAGAACATGTGGACGTGGCACTCGGGGCCGTGGTTTGGTGGTGAATGTGGCAGTGGTGGCTTGAGGGTTGGTGATCTGAAAGGTCTTCTCCAACCTTAGTGATTCCATGGTTGTGTTCCTGTGCTGCCTGCAGCCCTCCCCGTGCTCCCTGCTTTGCTGTGCCCATGTCTGACACCCAAATATGGGAAAAAGAACCCTCCTGGCACCTTGGGGTGGAGCAGAGCTGCAGAGCCAGAGCTCTTCCAGCGCCGGGCCCGGACTCTGGCTGAGTTTTCCAGAGGGAAAACCCTCTCCTGGGGGGTTGCCCGGGCTGGATTCGATGGCTCTCCCTTTTTCCCTTTCCCTGTGCAGCGGAGAAGACTCACCTGGAAGTCCCCTTGGAGGAGAACATCAACAGGAGGGTGCTGGAGGAGGGCTCGGTGGAGGCCAGGACCATCGAGGATGCCATCGCTGTCCTCAGGTGCGTGGCCACGCCCCAGCCGTGCCCTCCTCCGAGGGCACCACTTCCCCGGGGGAATTCCCGGCGGACATTCCCCCCCAAAATTCCCCAGTGGCTTTTCCCCCCCGCGGGCTTCACGGACACGTCCCACGGGAGCTCCGCGGGGAGCGGGGTCGGGCGCGGCACGGGGAGATTCCCGGCCCTTATCCCGCTGTTCCCGTGCTCCCGGTGGCGCGGGCGCGGGGCAGGGTGGGCACGGAGGGCGGGATGGGGCCGTCCCTGTCGCCCACGTGTCCCGGTTTGCCCCGGCAGCGTGGCCAACGAGGCGGACAGACACCCCGAGCGCCGCATGAAAGCCGCCTTCGGCGCCTTCGAGGAGCTGCACCTGCCCCGCCTGAAGCAGGAGAACCCCAACATGCGCCTGTCCCAGCTCAAGCAGCTCCTCAAGAAGGAGTGGATGAAGTCCCCGGAGAACCCCATGAACCAGAGGCACAAGGCCTACAACAGCCACAAGTAGAACTCGAGCTGCTCCTGCGTCCTCCCCCCCTGCCCCGGACTGCGAGCAGTGGGAGCAGGAGACACGAGGAGCCTCCTCTCCTTTGGTTTCCCTTCCCCGTCCCCGCTTTCTCCTCGGATTTAAGAGAAGCACGAGGCCACCGCCCGCCCGGGGACACTCCTGTGTCCCCCCCGGACAGACTAACGCCACCTTCACCTTCCCAGATCCGGGTGCTCCCAGACAAAACCAGCTACTAACTCACTTCCAGACCTCCAGCAGGTCCAGGTGGGGACCCCCGTGGTGGCCACCCCCTCCCAGACTGTCCCTGTCCCCGCCCTCGTGCTCCACGGGGGGATTTTGGAACCATCCCGAGGAAGGCACCTGCTCCCTGCTCCCAGTGCCATCCTTGGGGGTCCCCGAAGAGATTCCAGCCTGGGATTGCTGTTCCTCCAGCTGCCTCTCTCCTCTCCATCTCAGCCCCAGCGGGAGCAGGAGGGTGGGGAAGAGGGAAAACCACCTTCTCTCCAGGAGGAATGGGAGAAATCCCAGCCCAGCGTGGTTCCTGCCTCCTCTGGGCAGGGCACTGGTGCCAGGCTGCTCCGTGGGACATTCCCAGTGCCCCTGGGCAGCTGCTGGTGGCACTGGAGGGTTCCCTGAGGGGCTGCAACCCAAAATCCACCCTGACAAGGGAAGCTGCTGCTTCTCCCATCCCTTCTTCCCGTGCCTGATCCCGGGCTCAGGCCGGAAGGTGCCCTGAGGGCCTTTGGAAAGGGAGGTGCCACCGACCCCCTGTGCCACCTCTGCTGCCCTCGGGGTCCCTGTGCTGGCCCAGGCAGGAGGAATGGGATGAGCTCCTGTGGGAATGTGAGATCTGTGAGCTCCCTTGGGATGTGCTCCCTTGGGAATGCCAGGTGAGATCCACGGGCTCCCTTGGGAATGCCGGAGAGGTTTAGCCCCGGAGCCACAGCACAGTCCTGCCCTCACCTCCAGCAGCCACTGGGTTTTCCTCTCTTCCCTCTGTTTTCCCATCTCCTGGTCTCCTTTGGGAGTGAAATTCCTTCTCCAAGGAATTCCTTCCAGCGGCTCCACGGCCTGGGGGTGTCACACTCCTGGCTCCACATCCCAGTGGCTTCTTCCCGCGGGATTAAAGCAGACTCATCCCAAGCCAGGGTGAGCCTTTGAAGCCGAGCCCCCACGGCCATTCTGGGGCTCCCCCCAGCCCTCTGCACCCCCCTAAAGGAGCTGGGCTGGCCAGTGCCCCCCCTGCTCCCCCAGACCCAGCCAGGGAGGAGTGAACCCCCCTCATCCCTTTTCTGTGAGAGTTTGTTGTGTTTGAACCCAATTAAAAATTAAAAAACACCCCCAAAATCCTCTTAAACTGGGCAAGGAATAAGGAGGGGATGGCTGAGGGCAGGGGGGGTGTTTCCTTTTCCTGGCTCGCCACGGGGGGGCTGTTTATTGCCATGAAACGCTGCAGAAGATCCCGCTGGGAGCTGGGCGTGTGATTCCTGCCTGGATTGGGGGTCCCTCGGGTGGGGGGTTCCCCCTTTTTTCTCTCCCCCATCCCCAGCAGGTTGTGCTTGGCAGAGCTGCAGCGTCTGACACGGGGAAAGCCCCCCCATTCCCG